AGTGTGCATTTAAAAACGCAAACCAACACATACAAGCTATATTCACGTCGAAGTTGTTGTTATAATAGCACAGTTTGCCTTCAATTTCATTTAAGCTTGTTATTTTTCGACGCACAAACACTCCTCGCCACTACACGCTGCTCGCCACGCCGTTTTCTCTCCACCCACTCAGATACACAGAGGAGAGAAGACCGCTGGAGTTACACACACACATCAGTTCCGCCGCCAATATTTTGCCTGCGCCTGGTAATTGTTGTGGACAAGCAAGTTACACTTGCTTTGCTTTGAATTGCTGTGCATTCACATACGCTATCAGGCATACCACATTGTGTTGCATACTTTTGTGCGCCAAACAGTTTTCATTCAATTTTTTGTATTTTTCATATTAATTTTTACATTGCTATGCGAAATAAATCAATATTTCTGCATGATTGCTATTGAATAGTCGTAAAAAATCTGTCAACCGCAGTGCTTTGTCGCTTATAAGCCGGGAAGGAGGGACAAAAAGAGTGCCTTATTTCAAGTGTTTGGTACACCAATTGAAACATGGCTAAGTACTCCTATGGAATCATCATTCTTTCATTAACTTTTGCTGCTTAAGCACTTTAAGTTTGAAATTTCATTAATGAGGTATACACGTTTCGAAATTCTCACACTATTTATGTAATTAAACATATAAGAGTATGTAACTTTGGTTCATTATTTTTATACGCTAAAAGATTTGTTGTCCCTTGGCATTAATTTCAACTTGCTACTGACAGTTTTTGTTGTACTTTCGAATAGAGTCTTAGGTTTGTTAGCTTTACGGACCGCTTCTAGATTCAGCCGAACTGTCTGTTTATTTGTATAGTTCTTCTTTAACTTTGACTCTCCTTTTTGCCATACTATACAATTATAACTTACAAAATCTAAGCGTATTAACCCGGCTAACCCGCAATAATCTAAGCCTACATATTTAAGCTATTCAATTGAATCATTTCGTGTAGACCGCGAAGTGTATCCGAGCGATTACAAAATCAACCTTTTTCTTCGGAAGCAACTTATTCAACAAGCTGCCACCAGCCACTCCCATGTGTAGCCCTAAAACTTGCCATAGACCATATATGCTCTTGATTTTAGCGGAACTTCTCCCGCCCGTTCGAAACAGGTTAAGTCTAAGAACCTTACAAAGCTCACATAATTATTAAATTATTGTAAAAACAGAGAACCTGTGTTGGATGAAAGAGATCTTGAATCAGAAAGACCACATCGGATAGGATTTTAAATCTTACTATTGTAATTCTTTCAATTCGGTCATCAGTGGAACAGAAACTAACTGAATCTGATCAGAACAAGACGGTTCTTCAGTTTAAAGAGATATCAATATGTTCTTTTGTAGCATTAACAAAGCAACGAGTTAACTATTTTCAGACATTCGTGAAGCTTTTAAGAGATGTCTCTGCTTACAGTGTGGTTCAAAGGTAGTCCAAACGTTCTGGTTGATGTTTATAAACAATACTGTGGAAGAATATCAACGAACCAATGTCTCTGATATTGATATCGAAAGCAGCCACTACAATAGATGTAAGAGATAAAAAATCAATTCTAGCCGAAGGAGATGTGCTTTTCCCAAAGAATGTCTGAGCAAGACCGAAGTAATTGAGAGAACTTAAAAATTTTAAATTCTAAAGAGCTTAGACTAGTTGATATAAAATTCCAAGGTTAAAAAACCTTCATCAAGGCTAGGAAGGATAATTCTAATATCTCGAATAATTCGCTTCCATGGATGATTCCTAGCAACAAGTAAACATCTGGCTTGTTTAAGGGATGGTGCATGTGAATAAATAGTTCTTACAATTCAGGGATACATGGGGTTGGTCAGAAACTGAGAAGCAATCCAAGCAAGCACACCAAAACCGAGTTTGGAAGCTTAAAAAGGACGGTAACTATGGCTGATTAGTATATCTGAAAAATGGAAAAGGGTGGTTGGGCGGAAGCTTGGATATACAACAACCACTTACCAAGGAAACTTTATACAGAAGCAACGACAATTAACTGATATTAGCAACCGCAATAGACGAGTGAAGTACTTGTAACTAACGAAGCCTTAACGATCCAAGATTCAATTGACGAATGGCTAAAGCACCATAGAGCAAGACGATCAACGGAAAAATAGTAAAATAAATATGTATAAATATTTTTCACGCCAACTCCATATTACCGATAAAAACACATTTATTTTTCTGCACTTTATAACAAATCCACAGCAAGCTTAACGATTGCGCTGCTGCACTAAAGCACTTAAAATGTATTTGCTCAAGCAAGTGCTCAGCTTTTACAGCGCTTACTTTACAACAAAATGGTAGAAAGGTCCAGTAAATATATTTGCTACGAGTTAGCTGTAAGTAAGTACTATATTCGTATGTGTTGCTTGTATGTAGTGACACGCGTCTCTGTTTACATGCCACACTTAATGCTCAACACTCAGTGTTTGATAATGAATTGCACGACATTCATAATTTATAGTTGTTGTCATATTGGTTTTCGTCTGCGCCAAGCGAGCAACCGCTCGACAATAACGGAAACACTTAGGTACAAGTGTTTAATAGCCGTTGGGCTCTAGGAAAGGGCTCCGAAGAGTGTATGCAAGCGCCTAAGCTTCGTGGTAGCGTTGCCTGTGGGTGTTTGCTCAGTACGTTCGGGTTTGGGGAAAGGTAAATTTGTGTGCGTATTCTTCTAGTTTAACTGCAAACAATAGAAGGGTGTAAGCATATATGCTCGTAGATAGTTATGCACAGCTGTGGTCAAGTGCCCACTCTAGTGTGGCGGTTGAGCTGATGAGAGATGGCACAGTCACTTGTTATTTTTACACTCTTCACTCAACTAATTGCCTTTATTAATGGTCACTTTTACGGTTAGTCTACAAGGTCACAAAATACTAACGAAAGATGTTGCAAACCGTTGGTAGAGCTGAGATTTTGTTCTAAGAAGCGAGATTCGGAGCTTCAACAGTTTTAAGAGTTGGTGGTTTAAAATTGTCTCATTCCATAAATCAAGCGGATAATAGTCCAGTTGGAAAGCCCAATCTTGGGATACCGAGTACCCGAGCTATATATCCACTTATGAATGAGCAAGTTTCGTAGGAACTCAGAAGCTACGTAATTCTTTCTATGGGTTATTTAGTTGGCAAAGTAAGATAGGAAAATACCGAAAACGGAGCGGTATAGCGAAAGCTACTGCGTACTCACTCTTAGCACTCACTGTAAGAGCCGAGTACGACAATATTTTGTCAGAGAATTAGAATGATGTTGTAATATGTATTGAACGTAAAGGATGTTCTGAGGGTCTTTTACTTTATGTGAACTTAAATAATATATCCGGCACATATCTGGCTTCATTTAATCTATGTCAGGAGAATTATAACTATGTGATAGATTTTTAATTAAAAGTGGACTAAAATTAGTTGATCTCGCCTGATTTTGATTTCAAATATCGAGCATTTGACAGTAGTCCTTTAATTAATAGCATTTCACAGTAGCCACATGGTCATTTAATAGAATGCAATGTGGACTTTCTCAAAATGAGAGTCATAGTTTAGGGTATCCTTCGGTCCATTGATAACCGGTGGTGGAAATAATGTGGTCAAAGTATGTAGACTAGCAAAAGAATTTTGCATTATATGTTTGCCACTTATACGGAAATAAAAATTTAAAAATTTAACTTTATTTTTACATATTATTTAGTATAGGGTTGCCATACGTAAAAAAGTGTATAAAATAAAATAATTAAAAAATGTTGTATGAAGGGAAATGTTTTACTAAAAAGGACTTTATTACATATTTTGGTGTAGTAGTGTTGCCATATGTAAAAAATGGTATAAAACAAAAACAATTAAAAAATTATTACGAAGAGAAATCTGTTATTAAAAACAGACTTCATTAAATATTTTTTAGTATCGTGTTGCCATATGGACTAGGACTTCATTAGATATTTTGGAGCATAGGGTTACCATATTTAAAAAAGGAATAAAACGAAAAAATTATTATTAACAGAAATCTTTTACTAAAAAATACCTTGTTACATATTTTTGAGTATTGGGTTGCCATATGTAAAAAAGGGTGTATAAAATAAAAAGGTCAAAAATTTTGTATGAAAGAAAATATTTTACTAAAAAAGAACTTCCTTACATATTTTGGAGTATAGGGTTACCATATGTAAAAAAAGTTATAAAATAAAATTGGTATTAAGGCAAATTTTTTTACAAAAAAAAAGACTTTATTTAAGGGTTGTCATTTTAAAAAAGGCATACAACAAAATATTTATTATGAAGAGAAATCTTTTACTAGAAAGACTTTATTACATAGTTTTAAGTATAGTGTTGCCATATGTTTTTGAAACAGAGTAATCATATCAGAAAAAACCAACACCATAATAAGTAATATTAAATTAAACCAAAATTGATATTAGACGAAATGCATTACAGATAGGTTTACTAAATACAGATATATTTAGTTTAGAGTTGCCATATTTTTAGAAATTGCAGTTAGCTTGAAAAAATATGGATTAACTTAATATAGGGCTATTACATTGTAAAAAAATATTTCAGATCAGAATTGGCATCGTTCAATCATTTTTTTTACTCGTATAAATTATATTTCGCTTTATTAACGATAAAAATATGCAAATATCGTTATCGTTATTAACTTTCCTATGCATCCCATTCGAAATATTGCTCGAGAACAAACCTCTGAAGCTACTTCACTTTTTAACCGAATTGTAATTATAAATCATTCGACAAGGAAAACAACTTTGATTACTACTCCGACATTAATGAAGCGACATAAGGCACAAGCGCAGCAAAATAAGACATATGTCTAACGGTTGAATAATTTTATCAGTTCGTGATGTTAAGTGACAAACGCGCAAGCAAGCAGATAAAATAGTTTGTTATTTCGTTAAGATAAAAATGGCAATTGTGAAAAGTAGAAATAATTGATGATGGAAAACTGATGAAATTTCAGTGAGTACTAACTGGATGGAGCTGCTGGATGTATTTATTCAAGACAAAAAAATTATATTGAAAATTTTATAAAACAAGTGAAAACGCTATAGGAAAGAGGTGGAAAGAGGAAACACTAGCAGTATACTAAAAGTGTGAAAAATAAACAATTAAAACAATTTTAAATAAATAAAAAAAAAAACTTATACAAAAATCGAAATTATAAAAAATATAATATCTAAATTTAAATAAAAAAATAATACGATTTCATTAAATTTATGGTTTAATAAATTACTAAATTCTTATAAAAAAAACAACAACTGTTTAAATTGCCAAGTATTAAAAAATTTTAAATTTCAAAACTCTAATAAAACAATTTTATTAAAAAAAAGTCTGCGCAACGTGTTTTAACTCATAAAAATTAACTGTTCCAGAATTTTTTGGCAAAGCGCATGAAATTGCAAAATGAAATTTCATATATATTTTGTTGTTCTACTATTTTTCATGAAAAAAGGTGAGTCAGAAAATATAGCTAGAAACTTCGAAGTCGCATTTTTGTATTGGCAATCGATAGCTGATTGAGATCTTTAAAAATAATTGTAAAACATTTTAGTTTCATACTGATAACAGTTATCTTTTCAAAAGATAAAACAGTGCGGTGAAGTACAAGAAAAGAAATTCTTTAGTTCATTAAATAAATTGCCTCGACTACTTATATAAAGCGAGTATTTAATTTTTAATTATGCAAATTATTGAGAGCTAACTGCCAAGGCGACATTGGGAACAGTCTAGAAGCATTTTTATCTTTTTTCTACTTAGTTTTTTTTTAGACTCAGACCCCGATAAATAGCTCATTACCAACAGCTTAAGATCCATCGAAGCTTGTCATCATGAACCCGTCATCAGCGTGAAATATTCAAAAGCCCTTTCTGTATCCTAGTTCATGTAAAATTATCTTTACGAGTACCGTCCACACAAGAGAGCGAAACTTTCATACCGCATGACGCATTACTCACTAATAGGGGCCCGTTCGCTAATCATAAGTACCCATTATTCAAAACTATTTTGCGAAACCTTAACATCTATGCAAACCCACCAGGTCATCATCATTCTTTTAAGTACTTTAAAACTTGTCTTTATAGTCCAGCCAAACTTCTCCTAAAAGTTAAGATTCACTCACGACCATGCAGCACAAACAGTACAATTTTTAGGTGCTTTAAACCAAATATGCTTTGTGCTTCTCCTGCGCATACAAATCTGCTAAATTACTTTTTACAAATCAAAAGATCTCCCAACATTCGATCACAGCTGAATCTTATTACAATGGTTTGACATTCTACAATAAAATTCACGAACCAGAAAAAACCTTACAAAATACTGGTTTCAAGATGATACCTCTTTTCTTTACAGGCAATGCTGACTACATTCAATGCTACGTATGTGAAGATTGCGAGGAAAATGAAGGCGAACTAGTGTCCTGTGCACTTCTTGGAGAGTTACAACTAATAGACACAATAGTAGAGACCACAGCAGAGACCGCTGTGATCATCAGCACCACTCAGACGACAACCACAGCAAATGAAATCAATTATACCACATCAGCTAATTTTGAGAATCCGACGTCAACGACTGCAGCAGTCACATCCGCCAATTTTGAGAATCCGACGTCACCGACTGCTGCAGTCCAACAAAATCTAACTACAGTTAGTATACCCAATGCTATTGAATCCATAGAATCTTATGAGGACATGGAGTGGGAGCGAGAAAGCGCAGAATCGCCAATACCACCTCATATAGAAACGACGAATGGAACGAATGCGGAAATGGAAACTTTGTTAGTCAACGCAACTGTGATTTCGGCCAATGAGACCGTCAAGCCAACTGAAGAAGAAAGCACAATGCTGTTAGCAGAAACTGCGCCAAACTTGTTGATTAATTTGACCAACACTCTACAACAAAATATTACCACGAATACTACAGAAGTGCTTGGACTGAATGCAACTACAAGTGATAATTTCTTGAACTTAACTACAGTTGCCACAGCACCCAATGCCACCTCGGCAACAATACCCTGGAGTGAAAGTTCTGAGAACAACACTGCTACGATCGAAACTACAGTTGCAGATTCCCTAAATAATTCGTTAAACGTAAATTTTACAACTACAATTACAGAGGTATTGAAACTAAATGAAACAGAGTCCACGATTTTCGAAGCAGTAAATGAAACAACAGTATTTAACACAACTGCCGTAAGTTCTGCAGGTGAAACAACATCAGTTAATAATATGAACGTTAGTTCTAGCAACGAAACGTCTACAGGGTTTTCGATATTGGGCAATGAGTCGACAAGCTCATTGGAGCTTAACGAAAATACAACAGGCGTTAGTTCTAGCAACCCAACAACTGCGGGGATGTCGATATTGCAAAATGAAAGCATAAGTTCTGTGGAGCTTAGTGCAACAACACAAGTCAATACAACAGCTCTGAATGCTGGCAATCTAACAAGTACAGAGATTTCAATATTAGGAAATGAGTTCACGAACTCTGTAGGACTTAATGGTACAATACAAGTCAATACAACAACCATTAATTCTTCGAATGGTACAATTACAGTCATGCCGGTATTAGAAAACGAGAACTCGAGTTCTTTGGGGCTTAATGGTACAATAGAAAACATTACAACAACCGAAAGTTTCGGAAATGTAATAACTACCGGGATATCGTTATTAGAAAACGGAAACGCGAATTCTGTCGATCTTAATGGTACAACAGCCCTAACTGCTGGGAATGTAACAACTACCGAGATTGCGCCATTGGAATCCACAAGTTCCGTGGGTCTTAATGGCACAACACAAATCAATACAATAGCTATAAGTTCAGGCAACCTGATCACTGAGATGCCAATATTGGAAACTACTATGGGAGCAAATGAAACAACACTAGGCAGTGATCTAGCTCTAAATTCTGGTAACGTGATAACAACAGGCGACTCGACATTAGAAAGTGGGTTCATGAATTCCACATTCACATTAGAATCAGGTAATTCTACAGTTCCTGGAATAATGGAACTAACCAATACCAACAGTGGAATTGTTTCTAGTGCAATATTAACTGCAAACACTAATGGTATGCTACAAAATGTGAACGGTATGCTGCAAAATATAACCACAACAGCACTTTTGCCAAATTTAATAGCCAATGAAACAGGCGATGTTACAAGTGAAGCAATTCAACTTAACGGTACAGCAGAGTCTCAAACAAATGCGCCAACAATATTATCAAATGTCAACATTACAACAGTTGCAACAACTGTAAATAATACACAAACTGGAGCTGGATGGACTATTTCCGAAGAATATACGAACGAAGATGAGGATGATAACTTTTTGGATTCTGAAGACGACGTTCGCAAACGCTCGAAGAATTTAGGAAAGCTACGCGCTGAAAGGTATACTAGAAATGCTGGGGTATCAACAGTCAACGCCATTCAGGAGTCTACGAAGTTCCTGGTTAAGCAAAACCCTACAGACTTCTTGCTCAACAAATATAGTAAACTGAGGCACATAGCAGGACAGAAGCAAGTGAACATAACCTATAAATGTTACACTGTGCGCGTTAAAGGTAAGACTAGTCCACGAATGAGCTCTAATCGTAGAAGTATTGCTTATTTGATATTTAAAGTAAAGAAAACTTTAACAATACTTTTTAAAGTAATTTCAAATTTGAGAAGTTTGGGAGTTTTCGAAGTTGTAAAGTATTTTTTGCAAATCTAAGAAATTTATTTTGTTAAAAGACTGCATGTCGAAATTATCTACGTAATATTTTTCGTAGATCATTCCAAAATTTTAATAATTGTTGCCTGTTGAAAGGACTACATGACTTCAATCTGCATTTGCTCTATCAAAGCAAGGCCTCGGCATAACTTGCTTTTCAAAGAAATCTTAGATTTTGAACTTAAAACTTAAATTAAAATAACTGTAACTTGTAAATGCTGTTGAAATGAATCGAACATGTTTCTATTTCGATGCAGTAGTTTGGGTTTGTGTTAGTACTTTGCACATCAAAGAGATATCGCTAGATTTTCTTGCGGTTGCCACGTTTTGAGATCGCTGTTAATTTTTCTCCAAGATAACACTTATTTTCATAATATCTCTCATATTTTTTAATATTTAAATTTTTTTCCCCAAATATTTCAGGTGAAAATAAAGTGCAAATCAACAAAGGCTGCATCGCAGTACCTGCAAATCGAACCGCCTGCGAGTTGCTAGCAACGAAGTATGGCGAGGGTGCATTGCAGGATTGCAAAGTGTGTTTGGAGAGTAAATGTAATAATCGCAGCAGCAGCAATGATTTGAAAATTTCTTTTGCAAGTATAATCTTAACGGTTTTAGGCGCTTGGTTACTCAGTTAAGATTTCAATGTCTGCACAACATTTTCTTCAATTTATTGCAAACAATTCATATTTAACAGTTTCAACTGTATAACCGAAAAATAACCGATATTTTTTGCTTTCTCATTTCAAATAAATTAACAAATGAACTTTTTTGACATTTTCTTTTCATTTTCACTTGCATCCACTCGCTACTTTTGCTTTGCCACTTATCATTACTTCATCTGTTATCTAATTTATAATAAAAGCGCTAATGACAGGGTTACACTCATAAATATTTAGCACCTTCCGACTACGACTGTCAAGCAGGAATACTTAAAGGGAAGGAAGTGTTTTCACTTAAAAAAAACACTTGCGTTAATAGATACAAAAGTAAACAAACAATAAGGCAACAAGCAAAATAAAAGGTAAAAACTTTAAAGGTCAGTAGGTACAAAGATATCAGCTGAAAAGGTAAAGTAATAGCGAGCATCTGAAACAGCGATAAGCTTAAGCGAAAGCAGCTAATGAGCCTAAGAACACAAAATGTGGTGGCATAAGCCAAAATAATGAGAAGGGCAGAAATAGATAGCATCAAAAGGCAACCCTCGAAAGTTTGTCGTAAAAATAACTGTATCATGACAACTTAATGTCAACCAATGTGATTGCAACGTTGTGTGGGAACTTTTGAACATACTTATTTTAGACAATTATGCTTCTCAACTGCGTTGGGTGTGTGTGCGGCAATTTGACGATAATGAATGTAAATGTCATGGCAGTCGTCATGATCATTTATACGATTATTTATACTTTATAGGGTCTCCGACGTTTCTTTCTGGGTGTTACAAATTTCGTAGCAAACTTAATATAACCTGTCCAGGGTATAAAAAGAACGGAAGTATGTACTATAGTATTGCATATACATTTTTTCTTAACTTCAATTTTGGATCGCTTGACCTCGACGTAACAAAGCATTCTAATGTTTTCAGCAGTGTTTCTCTTACAGGCAAAGTTACAAAATACTAGTATATGACAGGTATAGGTTAGGTTTACATAAAACAAGGACAACAATGTATGAAATTACTCAACCCTTCATTCCAAAACAGTCATAACCTAAACATTAGCGATAAAAGATGTTCACTAGGCCTGCACTAGTATACATAGCAAAAGCACTCTGCGAAGCTTTCCTAAACAAATTCAATTAAAGTCATGCTCGAGACAATCGTAGAAGTACTTTGGTACCAGCTCTTGTAGATCCCTTTCTCTTTCTTATTCGTTCAATTAAAAGCAAATCGTACGTCCAAATACCTAATTGACGTTATGTAGATAACTTACACTTATCTGATGTATTGCATAAAGAATTTCTTTAGAGAATTATTCTAAAAATAAGTCGGAGACTTGAAGTTTATAGTGAGTTCTTTAACTGTATGACAATTATACATAGATGAGCTCTAACTGTAACTGCAAAACCTTTATTTTGACAGCCAGAACATTTAGCAAGACGAAATATTCTAGGGATTTGTCGAATGAGAAATGGAAATGAAATTGGAATAATTGAATGAAAATTAGTAAGAATAAAAAGCTACAGCAGTTGATATGAGGTCACTGAGGAGCCAGAAGTTACCAAAATTTTAGAAAAAGAAGAAGAAGAAAGTATATATGTATGTATAAGACTACAGCTAGTCACTGAGGACCTAAAAGTCATCAAAACTTTAGAAAAAGAAGAAGAAGCAACAATATCTAAGGCTATTGGTCACCGCTCAGAACCCCAAAGCTGCCAAAATCTTCGAAGAGGAAGTCTACAGATAGCTCCTGGGGACACAAAAGTTTTAATTGCGCATTAAAAGAGCTGTCTCCTCTAAAGTTTTACTTGTTTTTCGCATTAACTACAAAATCGCTGTTAATCACAATTTGTATAAATTGAAATAAAATTTTATTTCACCAAAAATTCAATGGAAAACTCGAAATTTCGCTGAATTTCGAAATCAAGCAGTAAAATATAAATTCATTTTATTTTTTTACGATCTGTTGCACATTACACAATATACAGACATATAGAAGAAAGCATAAAATTGAATTCACTGCTATTTACAACAACAACAAGTACAACAACAACAATAATAACCTGACCAAACCACACTTGTATTGTTAATGAGCTTTTACGCCTTTCACACGTGCTTTTAACAACTGTCAAATACAAAGCCAATAGAACAACAACAATCAAAAATCAACAACAACAAATCAACAGCATATTGTTATAAACATACTCGTACATACATATGTATGTATCATAACTGTATGTTTGCTTATATGTAAACAACAACTTTTGAATTCACAAACACTCATGGCTGAGTGGCTGGCATTCGCTGCCTGTGCATGTGAGCATTTGTATATGGTGTGAACAGGTAGTAATATATGACTGCTTCATTTTATATATACTCTAGAGTGGAGCGAAATTTTTTTTTGTTTTTTTGCTTAGCCTGGAGATAAAATCTGTAAGTTATAAAAAAACGAAAATTTTTGGACAAAAAAAAATTTTTTTCAACATCTAGAGGCCCACTCAATTTGAAAGTAAATTTCGAGTCAATATTTTTTTTGGACAAGAAAAAATTATTTTTGGTTTAAACTCTTTACAGTTATAAAAAATTACCGAATGTGACGGTTTTTGACTCAAAATTTATTTTAACACTTAAGGAAAGCATGTGGTCGTTTAAGACTTTTTTTTAAAACTCCAAAGTTGATTCTTAAATTAATAACTTTTAATTGGCCAGGAAGAGGACTCTCCACAGCTTCTAGAACACTTATGAAAAATTTTTTATGAAAAAAAAAATTGTAACTCGAAAATTTACTATTAAGCTCGATATTAAAAAAAATTTTTTTTTCCAAACATTTTCCTTTTATATAATCTACACAGCTTCTAGAACACTTATGAAAAATTTTTTACGAAAAAAAAATTGTAACTCGAAAATTTACTATTAAGCTCGATGTTAAAAAATTTTTTTTTTCGAAACATTTTCTTTTTATATAATCTACAAATTTTACCCATAGGTTAAGCAAAAAAAAAATATTTTTTTCGCTCCACCCTAATATACACACACAAACATATATATGTACATTAAACATGACATAAGGTTTAAAACGGTTGCTTAGAAAGCTTAAAAGTAACAGCGCGCCATATTAACAGCTACTCGCTGTGTGTGCGTAGGTAGGTATTTGTGTATATGTGTTTGTGTGGTAAATTGTATAACTGAAAAGCTATTGAAAATAGCGACTAACCAAAAAATCATAAATGTGGCGCATTTATAGCGATATTTTATTGCACTTGCGCGTTCGCTTGCCACAACCATGTGCATATGCCAGTGTGTGTGTATATGGCGTGCCACAAAATTTTATTATCACAAATTGAATTAAGGCGGAAGCGTGCTACGTATGCGTATTGTACGTGTTAGTTATAGTTATTGGTGAAATTCAATCAAAAGCTGGCAGTGGAGCGATTTAATAAGAATTATTTCAAAGAGTTCGCGATAGAGAGCTGCCTTAAAAGCAAGCGGCGTTAATGGTAAGTAAGCATATGCGTACCTTTATGTATGTATACAATATATTGGATGAAAATTTAATATTTTCTCATAAAATGAGTTTACGCCAGTCGTAAGCGTGGTGAATGCCGAATTTGTGCTTTAAAGCTCAATAGTTCCACTTGAAACATGAAAACCGTTATATGACAGATAGAAAGCAAGCAAAAAAAAACCCACTTTTTAACAAAATAATTATAAGAATAAAATTGTGGTAAATATACAATCTCGTTACAACATCTTAGAATTTCTGCTATCTGCTTCGGAAACATGAAATTCCTTTGACCACAACCCTTTCTGCATATATTATTTTCATGACACAACTGTTCCTCACTATCTGATATGAACACGATAACACAATATTCTTGCATATTAGTAGGTATTTAAAAACAACCGTTATTTGAAAGTTCCACCGATTAACCCTATTCAGTGCTATTTACAAACCGTTCTAGTTCCGTAGACCCAATTAGAATAGGGACGAACCCTAAAATCCTCATTGGATAGACAGAAAATACCACATTTATTGCTTCGAGAGCACTTACTACTCCGTATCGCTTTTGTGAACAGATTTTTAGACATGCACCGACTCTGCTAGATATAGATAATCCATTGCTTCATCAACTAATTCATAATCAGCTTTTGTGATATTCAAAAAGTGTATCTTAAGCCTAAATTTATGCTATGAAAAACTGAACCCAAAAAGTCATACAAGTCTACCAAGGTACCAATAACAACTATTCTCACCACACAAAACTTTACCATATTGTACGATACCTTGTGTCTGATCTTTTCACCACAAGAGAGCTAATATTCGATAAGAAGCCTCTATTTAGTGTCATACTTCGTTGCTGCTTCTAGGTTAGTGCATTTAAGTGGAATTTCAGTCCATCCATAAGAAAAATTCTACAGAAACTCTTTCAGACCTATTTTGTTTGCGTGAAAAATACGACGAGAGAAAATAAACTCACTCCTATAACTACTCCAAGACATATAATAAAAAGTACCATAAAAAGCCGAGTAGCACACAGTTATTCTTAAGGTTAATGCTTTTAGTAGTTTCGACAAGAGGTTTCAGTTGAAAACTACTAGCTATATCTCCTTCGAGAGCGTCATATTAGAGGTTAAAAGTTATATATAAAATAATATTTTCCAACATCACTTTTACACTCCTGAAACACATCGATTCAGCTACAAACACACACTAGCTTTTATTTTATCTTCAAAGCTCTTGAAAGTGACGCAACAAATTTAAATAACTTTTCAAATCACACTTTAATGCTTCAATTTATGTTTATATGTTTATATATACGCAAATGCAACTAAATCCTAGCAATTTTTATTAAATGATTTTCCCCTGAGTAACTACCTTTAAAAAGCTCCAACTAACAAATTGGCAAACTAAACAAATTTCTCAAAAATACAACTTAACGCACTTGAAAACCGCTACCCACGCCACTTTAGGCCAACTACTTAAGAGTACACAAACACACACACACAAACATGTAAGGGCAAAGCGTTAGCCCTACGTTGAGTACTTGTATGTGTTGCTTGCCAGCGTGCATGCAATCACATGCTCCATAAAGCGCATGAAGCGTTCCA